ACTCAGCATAACACCCTCCAGTTCCATCCACGTCGTTGCAAATGGCAGGATCTCATTCCTTTTGATGGCTGCATAATATTCCATTGTGTATATATACCACCTCTTCTTTATCCATTCATCTGTCGATGGACATCTTGGCTCTTTCCACAGTTTGGCTATTGTGGACATTGCTGCTATAAACATCGGGGTGCACGTACCCCTTCGGATCCCTACATTTGTATCTTGTGGTAAATACCCAGTAGTGCAATTGCTGGATCGTATGGTACCTCTATTTTCAACTGTTTGAGGAACCTCCATACTGTTTTCCAGAGGGGTTGCACCAGCTTGCATTCCCACCAACAGTGTAGGAGGGTTCCCCTTTCTCCACATCCCCGCCAACATCTGTCGTTTCCTGACTTGTTAATTTTAGCCATTCTGACTGGTGTGAGGTGGTATCTCATTGAGGTTTTGATTTGGATTTCCCTGATGCCGAGCGATGTTGAGCACTTTTTCATGTGTCTGTTGGCCATTTGGATGTCTTCTTTGGGAAAATGTCTGTTCATGTCTTCTGCCCATTTCTTGATTGGATTATTTGTCCTTTGGGTGTTACGTTTGATAAGTTCTTTATAGATTTTGGATACTAGCCCTTTATCTGATAGGTCATTTGCAAATATCTTCTCCCATTCTGTGGGTTGTCTTTTGGTTTTGTTGACTGTTTCTTTTATTGTGCAAAAGCTTTTAATCTTGATGAAATCCCAATAGTTCATTTTTGCCCTGGCTTCCCTTGCCCCTGGCGATGTTTCTAGGAAGAAGTTGCTGTGGCTGAGGTCGAAGAGGTTGCTGCCTGTGTTCTCTGTTAGGATTTTGATGGACTGGTGTCTCACGTTTAGGTCTTTCAACCATTCTGAGTCTATTTTTGTGTGTGGTGTAAGGAAATGGTCCAGTTTCATTCTTCTGCATGTGGCTGTCCAGTTTTCCCAACACCATTTGTTGAAGAGACTCTTTTTTCCATTGGACATTCTTTCCTGCTTTGTCAAAGATGAGTTGACCATAGAGTTGAGGGTCCATTTCTGGGCTCTCAATTCTGTTCCATTGATCTATGTGTCTGTTTTTGTGCCAGTACCATACTCTCTTGATGATGACAGCTTTGTAATAGAGCTGGAAATCCGGAATTGTGATGCCACCAGCTTTGCTTTTCTTTTTCAACATTCTTCTGGCTATTCGGGTTCTTTTCTGGTTCCATACAAATTTTAGGATTATTTGTTCCATTTCTTTGAAAAAAGTGGATGGTATTTTGATGGGGATTGCATTGAATGTGTAGATTGCTCTAGGTAGCATTGACAGCTTCACAATATTTGTTCTTCCATTCCATGAACATGGAACATTTTTCCATTTCTTTGCAGCTTCCTCAATTTCTTTCATGAGTATTTTATAGTTTTCTGAGTACAGATCCTTTGCCTCTTTGGTTAGATTTATTCCTAGGTATCTTATGGTTTTGGGTGCAATTGTAAATGGAATCGACTCCTTAATTTCTCTCTCTTCTGTCTTGTTGGTGTATAGGAATGCCACTGATTTCTGTGCATTGATTTTATATCCTGCCACTTTACTGAATTCCTGTACGAGTTCTAGCAGTTTTGGGGTGGAGTCTTTTGGGTTTTCCACATACAGTATCATATCATCTGCAAAGAGTGAGAGTTTGACTTCCTCTTTGCCGATTTGGATGCCTTTGATTTCTTTTTGTTGTCTGATTGCTGTAGCTAGGACTTCTAATACTATGTTGAATAGCAGTGGTGAGAGTGGACATCCCTGCCGCGTTCCTGACCTTAGGGGGAAAGCTCTGAGCTTTTCCCCATTGAGAAGGATATTCGCTGTAGGTTTTTCATAGATGGCTTTTATGATATTGAGGTATGTACCCTCTATCCCTATACTCTGAAGAGTTTTGATCAAGAAAGGATGCTGTAATTTGTCAAATGCTTTTTCTGCATCTATTGAGAGGATCATATGATTCTTGTTCTTTCTTTTGTTAATATATTGTATCATGTTGATTGATTTGCGGATGTTGAACCAACCTTGCAGCCCAGGGATAAATCCCACTTGGTTGTGGTGAATAATCCTTTTAATGTACTGTTGGTTCCTATTGGCTAGTATTTTGGTGAGAATTTTTGCATCCATGTTCATCAGGGATATTGGTCTGTAATTCTCCTTTTTGATGGGGCCTTTTTCTGGTTTGGGGATCAAGGTAATGGTGGCCTCATAAAACGAGTTTGGAAGTTTTCCTTCCATTTCTATTTTTTGGACCAGTTTCAGGACAATAGGTATTAATTCTTCTTTAAATATTTGGTAGAATTCCCCTGGGAAGCCATCTGGCCCTGGGCTTTTGTTTGTTGGGAGATTTTTGATGACTGCTTCAATTTCCTTAGTGGTTATAGATCTGTTCAGGTTTTCTATTTCTTCCTGGTTCAGTTTTGGTAGTTGATACATCTCTAGGAATGCATCCATTTCTTCCACGTTATCTAATTTGCTGGCATAGAGTTGCTCATAATATGTTCTTATAATTGTTTGTATTTCTTTGGTGTTGGTTGTGATCTCTCCTCTTTCATTCAGGATTTTGTTGATTTGGGTCATTTTTCTTTTTGATAAGTCTGGCCAGGGGTTTATCAATCATGTTAATTCTTTAAAAGAACCGGCTCCTAGTTTCATTGATCTGTTCTACTGTTCTTTTGGTTTCTAGTTCATTGATTTCTGCTCTGATCTTTATTATTTCTCTTCTCCTGCTGGGTTTAGGCTTTATTTGCTGTTTTTTCTCTAGCTCCTTTAGGTGTAGGGTTAGGTTGTGTATTTGAGACCTTTCTTGTTTCTTGAGAAAGGCTTGTATTGCTATATACTTTCCTCTTAGGACTGTCTTTGCTGTATCCCAAAGATTTTGAACAGTTGTGTTTTCATTTTCATTGGTTTCCCTGAATTTTTTTAATTCTTCTTTAGTAGGATGCTCTCTAGCCTCCCTGTGTTTGAGTTCTTTCTGACTTTCCTCTTTTGATTGAGTTCTAGTTTCAAAGCACTGTGGTCTGAAAATATGCAGGGAATAATCCCAATCTTTTGGTACTGGTTGAGACCTGATTTTGTGACTAGGATGTGATCAATTCTGGAGAATGTTCCATGGGCACTAGAGAAGAATGTGTATTCTGTTGCTTTGGGATGGAATGTTCTGAATATGTCTGTGAAGTCCATTTGGTCCAGTGTGTCATTTAAAGTCTTTATTTCCTTGTTGATCTTTTGCTTAGATGATCTGTCCATTTCAGTCAGGGGGGTGTTAAAGTCCCCCACTATTATTGTATTGTTTTCAATGTGTTTCTTTGCTTTTGTTATTAATTGCCTTATATAATTGGCTGCTCCCATGTTCGGAGCGTAGATATTTTCAATTGTTAGATCTTCTTGGTGGATAGACCCCTTAAGTAGGATATAGTGTCCTTCTTCATCTCTTATTACAGTCTTTGGTTTAAAATCTAATTTGTCTGATATAAGGATTGCCACCCCAGCTTTCTTTTGGTGTCCATTAGTATGGTAAATGGTTTTCCACCCCCTTACTTTCAATCTGGGGGCGTCTTTGGGTCTAAAATGAGTCTCTTGCAGACAGCATATCAATGGGTCTTGTTTTTTAATCCAATCTGATAGCCTGTGTCTTTTGATTGGGGCATTTAGCCCATTTACATTCAGGATAACTATTGAAAGATATGAATTTAGTGCCATTGTATTACCTGTAAGGTGACTGTTAACTGTCTGTTGTCTGTGTTCGTTTCTGCTCTTTGCTGCTTTTAGGTTCTCTCTTTGCTTAGAGGACCCCTCTCAATATTTCTTGGAGGGCTGGTTTCGTGTTGGCAAATTCCTTTAGTTTTTGTTTGTTCTGGAAGCTTTTTATCTCTCCTTCTATTTTCAATGACAGCCTTGCTGGATATAGTATTCTTGGCTGCATATTTTTCTCGTTTAGTGCTCTGAAGATATCATGCCAGTCCTTTCTGGCCTGCCAGGTCTCTGTGGATAGGTCTGTTGCCAATCTAATGTTTCTACCGTTTTAGATTACATATCTCTTCTCCCGAGCTGCTTCCAAGATTTTCTCTTTGTCTCTGAGACTCGTAAGTTTTACTATTAGGTGTCAGGGTGTTGACCTGTTTTTATTGATTTTGAGAGGGGTTCTCCGTGCCTCCTGGATTTTGATGCCTGTTTCCTTCCCCACATTAGGGAAGTTCTCTGTTATAATTTGCTCCAATATACCTTCTGCCCCCCCCCCTTCTTCTTCTTCTGGGATCCCAATTATTCTAATGTTGTTTCGTCTTATCGTATTGCTTATCTCTCGAATTCTGCCCTCGTGATCCTGTAGTTGTTTCTCTCTCTTTTTCTCAGCTTCTTTATTTTCCATCATTTGGTCTTCTATATCGCTGATTCTCTCTTCTGCCTCATTTATCCGAGCAGTTAGTGCCCCCATTTTTGATTGCACCTCATTAATAGCCTTTTTGATTTTGACTTGGTTAGATTTTAGTTCTTTTATTTCTCCAGAAAGGGTTTCTCTAATAATTTCCATGCTTTTTTCAAGCCCAGCTAGTATCTTTAAAGTCATGATTCTGAACTCTAGGTCCAACATCATACTAATGTCTGTATTGAGTAGGTCCCTGGCAGACAGTACTACCTCTTGTTCTTTTTGTTGAGGTGATTTTTTCCAAGTCTTGTCATTTTGTCCAGAGGAGAACAGATGAATGAGAGAACAAAATGCTAACAGGTTAACAACGTCCCCAGCAAATATACTCTAAAGAAATCAGAAAAGACCTGAAACCAAGGGGAAAGAAAGGGAAAGAAAGAGAGAAAAAGAAAAAGGTAAAGATAAAAACAAAAACAGAACAAAACAAAACAAAAAAAAACAAAATATGATCAAATATGATCAGGCTGGTGCATAGATCAGTGCCACACACTATATTTTGGGCATATTTTGGTCTGTTAGAAGAAAGTGCCTCCCAAAATTTTAAAGAAAGAAAGATTTATATATGTACAAAATAAGGGTTGATATGATGGAGTGATGGAATATGACTGTAAAGATGAAAATTATAAAAAATTTTATAAAAGGAATTGATAAGTTGTTTGAAAAAAGAAAGAAGAGGATTTAAAAAAAGAGAATGTGATCAGGCAGGAGACTAGAACAAAGCCATACACTAGATGTTTAGGGTATATTTTGATCTGTTAGAAACTGTATCTCAAAATTTTAAAGAGAGAACAACTTATATCTATATATGCCAAAAATAAGGGTAACTACTATGAACAGATAGACTATGACTCTAAAAATGAAGAGTAAAAATGTTTTTTTAAAAAGGATTGATAAGATGTTGGTTGAAAAAGGGAAAAAGAAAAATTCAAAAAAAAAAAAAAAAGACAGACTAAGGAATCATGGTAAAAAAGCCAGGGGAGGAAGGGGAGTCTCCCCGGATCTGCTGCTTGTTGGGTCCCTGCTGGAGGAGCAGTGGCCCAACTGTGTCGCGGATCACATTCTATGGCCACCCCGAGCTGAGAGCCCGCGCCTCGGCTCCGTCTCTGCAGCCGGCTTCCCCGCTCCGATCCCTGGGAGCTCTGCCACACTCAGGCACCCCCGGTCTTTCTGTGACCCCAAGGGTCCTGAGACCACACTGTCCCGCAAGGGTTCCACCCCCAGCTTAGCCACTGCAGCGACGTCCCTCAGCGGAGCTGACTTCTAAAAGTTCCGATTTTGTGCTCCGCGGCTCTAGCACTTGCCAGAAGTGGCCGATGGAGGCCCCCTCCCCCGCTGTCTATCCTCCGGAATATCGCCTTGGATTCACTTCTCCGCTGGTCCTACCTTCCAGAAGGTCGTCGCTTTTCTGTTCAGAGAGTCATTGCTATTCTTTTCTTCGATCTCCTGTTGAGTTCGTAGGTGTTCAGAATGGTTTGATCCCTATTCAGCTGAATTCCTGAGAGCAGATGAAATCCAGGTCTCCTACTCCTCCGCCATCTTGCCTACATTCCTCTTCATTTTCTTTAGTGCTTGTTGCTGCTGGTTTTTGGGGCAGCCTTTGCTTCTAGAAAGCAAGGCTTAATTCCGTATCTTCTACTCTCTGTCTTTAAATGTAGTTAAACCCCATTATTAACATTCTCATGTCTCATTCATGGGAGGATAATTCCCAAATGTGTTTCTTCAATTTTACCTCTCATGAGTTCCTCCTTTTGGGCTTCTTAAATGAAACATTTCTACCTGGATTTTCTGCCATCACCATAACTCAAGATATTAAAACAAAAATCAAGCTAATTATTCCTCAGTCACCTTTCCTTCTTTGCATTCATAATTAATGCCATCATCCTGCTTAACCAGGCTTAAAATCTTGGACATCACAATTGGCTCTTCCCACTTCTGTCACATTTTGGTGGTTACAAAAACTTGTACAGTTTGTGTTTGTGTTTTTTTCCAATTCCCGTTTCTTGCAGTTCACACTGCTACTGTGCTACTACATTAATCTTACTGGAACAGTGCTTTCATCCCATTTCACATACTGTGTTATTGTCACAGTAGCCTTCTTAAAACTCCACTTTGCATATGGAACTGTTCTCATTCCAAAAATCTTTAGTTAGGGATTTTTGGGAGTCAGACCCCTGTCCATCATATTAGCCTTATGTTCCTCCATTAGCTTACACAGAAAGGAACACCTTAATAAGTTGTTTGAATGTGTTATTTGGGTTATTACCTGTTTCCCTTTATTCATTGTCCATATTACCCGGAGTGCCATCCTTTTGTACTGCAGAGCTTTAGTGCACATTCCACCTCAGTAAAAATAATGGATAAGGTTTTCTGAATGCTTGTGGTCTGTGAGGCATTGTGCTGGGTGGTGCTTTTGTGATCTATGTCATTCAGCTCTTATCAGTCATCCTGTAACACAGGAACTGTTACTACCAATAACGTGAATTTGGATAATTCGTCTGCGGTTACAGAGCTGGGAAGTGGCAAGGACAGGTCTCCAGTAACTCCAGAGCCCAGGTTCTCCGTGATCACACTCTGCTGTCTTGTACCTGTGCCCCAATGATCAAGCTAATACTGGAGGACCAGATATGTTTCAGGCACAAGTAAAAGGGCTTTACAATTATTAACTCACTTAATTCTTGCAAAATTCTAATAAAGTAGTTACTGTTATGATCTCTGATCTACATATGAGGACATTGAGGTCTTGGGAAGTTAAACAGCTTACCCACAGTCTCATATCTAGTAAGTGAGAGACCCAGATTTAGAACTGGACAAACTTCTTTGGGAATTCATGCTTTAAGCCTTTTCAGTAAACTGTTAGCATAAATAATACAACAACAAAAGAAAAAGTTTGTTTTTATTCATTGATTTCCAACAGCTATTTGGATGTTTACTGAGTGGTAGATAAGGGCTTGGATATAAAGAAATGAAAAACATTAAACCCTTCTTTGAGCTCAGAGAGCTTTGGTCGTGGTACCACTGTCTATACCTGATCGCCATTGGCAGGGTATGGTCCAGTTTTGTGATATCAGTACCTTGCACAAGGTCAGTATTTAATTTTTTGACGATGTTATGATAATTGATTGGTTTTTCTGTTACCTTCTGCTAAGTGACCTTTGCTCTGAGTTAGGTTTGTGTTTTTTAGGGAGTACTTAAATTTTTCCCCCAGTTGACTTGTAGCCAGGGATCCTTTCCCTTTGATCTTTCATCTTTCATCTGAGTCCTGCTGTTGCTTAAATCTAGTGGGTTTTATTCCAATATATGCTACAGATAACTCTCCTCTAGAGAGAGGTGCTATTGACCATTTTTATGTCTCCTTTTTTTTTTTCCCCTCAGTACTGTATTGGCAATCGCTGGAGAAGATTTTTCGATTGTTGCTTCTGACACTCGATTGAGTGAAGGGTATTCAGTTCACACCCGGGATAGCCCCAAGTGTTACAAATTGTAAGTAAATATTTCTAGGGATACATTTCCCAGTGTCTTGTGATGACTTGCTGCTGTAAGAGATTTCACTTCTAAACAGTTTATTTCATGAGTTTTTAGGTTGAGTATTTGAGCTTAGTTTGCATTTTTGTTAGAAAACTGTTTTCTGAATTAGTATTTCCTAACAATTCAATATGTAGTCTTAATGATATTTGCTGTACTGGCAGGAAATATTTTTACCTTAACATTTTTTCATGAAAATTTTCAAATACATAAGAAAGGTAAAAGAATTTTGTAGTGAACACCTATATGCTATTGCGTGGCTCGTTAGCATTTACTATAATTATGTTATCATACAGCTTTGCATTCTTTTATCTGTTAATCCATTGCATTTTTTTAAATCTCCCCCCCTTTTTTTTTACCCAAAACATTTAGCCATCACCTAAGCAGCTATCTGTGAGCCACAGTCTTAATGGGCTAGCTGTATTTTTTCTAAAACATGAAAATGAAATATGCACTGATAAGTGACGGTTTGTAGTTAACATTTTTGGAAACAGTTGCAAATGGTGGTTAATTCCTAAATTAGTCCACAAGAGCCTATTAAAGCTGAATTGTAATAGGAATGGATTGATGGGGTTCAAGTCCCTTGGACAGGGCCCTCTGTGTTATGAGTAGGTAAAGAAGAGGGCTCTGTCTTCTTTCCTGGTCCTGGGCTAGCCCACACCCTACCCTAGAGAACAATTGATGTTTGTCATCTTCTCAGTTCTCTTCATATGCTCTTTTTTCTCCTTCTAAGATTTTATTTATTTGAGAGAGAGTGCGCACATGAGCGTCGTGAGAGAGAGCATACACAAAAGGGGCAGAGGGAGATGTAGGCTCCCCACTGAGCAGGGAGCCTGACTCAGGACTCCATCCCAGGACCCTGGGATCATGACCTGAGCTGGAGGCAGACACTTAACCAACTGAGCCACTCAGACGCCCCTCTTTATGTACTCTTCTTCCATCTTTCGATATCCCCTTCTCCTCTCTGATGCATAGTGCATGGATACTACCTTTTTTCTTCTTAGGAGAGGAAAAATTATTTCATGGATTTCATAATTTGGAAGTAGTAAATGTCACAGATAAAATTTAAGAACATAACTTTACAAATACCATTCTTATGCAAGGTTCTGCTCACCTTTGTAATGTTCTACTTTAGTGTGTGTGTTTCTGAAGGGAATATCTGTTCTTTTTCTTATTATGAAATATTATAGGCATATAGATAGATAGCACATTAATAACATTGTCTGTCCTTATCATCCATCTTCAGCACTAAACCATACATAGAGTTGAAGCTGCCTAGGTACACCTAATCCCAAGCCCTTTGGGGCTTAGAGCCAAACTTGCCTCTTCCCCACCTGTTTGAGACTCTACATTTAGTCTTTGTTCTTTGCATGCAAACACCTCTTCCTTTGATATACACCTGAATATTTGGGAAAAGCATCTTAAAGCTCCAAGATTTTGTTCTACCCTATTGGTATTATTCACCCATCTTGGTACTAAAGGCACTGCAGCCTTATGGGAGATTGGAGCTCCTTAACTCGGTGCAGTGAGATTGGTTGTAGGGATAGGTCAGGAAACGCTGGTGATGCCCCCAGAGCTGTCAGTGGTCCCCCTAGTTGGACAGGTATGGTTTGTATGAATCACTCATAAATTTCTGAAAGGAAGAGTTTATCATGTGACTTCTGCTATGTTTCTTGATGAGATTGGTGTAGGTTTCCTTATAGATTGATATTAAAGTTTAGAAATCTTTGAGACCTAGTTCAGTTTGTTTGGCTATACCAAAATTTAATTAGTTCCGCAGTGGTGGGCATTTAAGTGCTTTTTGTTTGTTTTGTTTTAGAGAGCCATTAACATAATATGTATACTTTCACAAGTAAGCCTATAGTATATCTTTGCAAACTTAAGTCAGTAAATTTACAGGGTGAATTTCTAGCAGTGGAATTACTGAGTAAAAGTGACGTTCACCTAAATTTTTACTGGATACTACCAAATGACCCTTCTATTTCTTTTTTTTAAGATTTTATTTATTTACTTGACAGAGATAGGGAGAGAGGGAATACAAGCAGGTGGAGTGGGAGAGGGAGAAGCAGGCTTCCCGCCAAGCAGCGAGCCCAATGCAGGACTCAGTCCCAGAACCCTGGGATCATGACCTGAGCCGAAGGCAGACGCTTAACGACTGAGCCACCCAGGTGCCCCCCAAATGACCCTTCTAAAAAAAGTTAAATGGATGTATACTCTTGCCCAGTTACTTATTAAGAATATCCATTTTCCACAACCTCACCAGCATTAGGCATTATTAATCAGTCTAATAGATTGAAATGTAAATTTGGATTTGTGAACAACATGAAGGCTTTTCATGTTTATGGTGACTTGTGTCTCTTTTTATATGACTCATGTAACTGTACCAGTCTTTCCATTGTGGGTTTGTCTTTTTTTTTAATTGAGAAATAAGTGACATATAACAGTGGTTTCAGGTGTACAACATGATTCCATATTTGTGTGTATTGCAAAGTGATCACCACAACACGTCCAGTTAACATGTCACCATACGTATTTACAAAATTTTTTCTTTTGTGGAGTACGTCTAAGATCTGTTCCTAGCAACTTTTAAACATTCGATACAATGTTATTAATTGTAGTCACCATGTCATACATTATATCCCATGATACGCTGTTAATGCTTTTGGTATTTATAAGAGCCCTTTTAGACTAAGGAAGTTAAAATTAGACTTTGGTTCTACCTACTACAATTTTTTTTTTTTTAACATTTTTCTCTATATAAGTTTTAATCTGGGGGGGGTGCCTGGGTGGTTCAGTGGGTTGAGTGTCCAACTCTTGGTTTTCGCTCAGGTCATGATCTCAGAGTCATGAGATCAAGCCCTACATCAGGCTCCATGCTCAGTAGGAGCCTACCAGAGATTCTCTCTCCCTTTCTTTCTGCCCCTCCCTCTGCTCGCTCGCTCGCTCTCTCAAGTAAATCTTTAAAAAAAAGCTTTTAAATTGGTACATAGTCAAATTTATGAAACTTTTCTATGTGGGCATTGGGTTGTATCATATTTAAATAGGTGGCTCTTAACCCAAGATTGTATTAACTATGTTTTCTTTAGGCCATCCATTCATTTTTCTTTAAGTCTTTGATCCTGCCTATAATTCATTTAGTATTGGGAATAAAGTGATGACCCCCACCCCCGCCGCCAGCAGAGGGCTAACTAGTCCCATTACCATTGGGTAAATAACGGGAGTAGGAGTTTTAAATTTAAAATTGCCCAAGGCATGTTTTACTTTATTGTCTAACCAGCTCAGTTTCCCGAAATGTGCTTTTTACAGAACAGACAAAACAGTTATTGGATGCAGCGGTTTTCATGGAGACTGTCTGACCCTGACAAAGATTATTGAAGCAAGACTAAAGGTAGATGTTTTTGTTACATGTCTATGCTATGGAAAGTTAATAACCATTCTTAGATTGTTTGAAGCATACAGCAGAACTGTTGTACAGAATAGCTGGAGGAGCTCTAGTTTAGCTGATGAAGCTACAGCCCATTCTAGAAATGAAATGATACTGTTAATACAGCCATATGAAAGTAGCATAGTGTGAAACTGCAGGATATTCCCTTTGTTAAAATCTCCGTACAATATAAAGGTTCTCTACCCTTTTCAAGGTAGCATGCAAAGGGTTTCTTCTGAAGATAATCTTCCTTCAAAAACAAAAATTCTGTAGAGGAGGCAAACTTTCAGACAGGTGCTTGGTTTGGAATACCATCAGCTGACATTCTTTCCCTCTTTACAGCATTGCATTCTTAGTCAACATGAGCAGCAAGAAAGGCAGGAGTTTGGATGAGAGGCAAAACCTAAGCTGTCATCACCTAATACTTTGGTAGGCTTTGGGTGACTGCCAGCTGAGGAAGTTTTGACACGTGATAGGTGGGCTTGGAACAGCAGGAAAGGGTGGTATGAGGAGGAAGTAAGAGAAAGAGCCGTTCTAACCTTTTCCGCAGTTTTTAAAGGGGCTGACAGTGTCACTGCCTGCATGTCTTTTGTACTAGATGGATAGGCATGAGGAATAAAGGAATACCAACTTTTAATGAACGCAGAGGCACGTCTAGATTTTTATTGTGGCCTGTGTATATTAAGCAGTATGTAACTTCCAGTAATTTCAAGGAGGTAGGCTAGGAGTAATTTAGACTGTATTAAAATGGAATTTTAGGGGCCCCTGGGTGGTGCAGTTGGTTAAGTGTCTGACTCAGATCAGGTTGTGATCTCAGGGTCATGGGATCACGCTCAGCAGGGAGTCTGCTTAAGTTTCTCTCTCCCCCTACCCTTCCCCTCCCCACCCCCAGCCCCTCCACCCCACATGTGTGTGCATGCTCTCTTTTTCTCTAAAAAAAAATAAATAAAACGGATTTTATCTGTAATAATAACTAGTAAATACATACTCTTAGCTGGCAAAAATACAAGGCTGGAGTTGGATTTAATTTTGTAGGATATGTGTCACATCTTTATGTAGTTGATAAGGACACCTGATACGTGAAGAAGTTAGCAGAGGTGGTCACATTCTGTCTTTGCCTATTTGTGAACAACACTTGAGATTATATGCACTTATTAATGATGTCGTAGGTACTGGAATATTTAATTAATTTAACTGACGTGTTTCTGAATAATTTTGAAATTGCTCGTTAGAATATAAAAATGATTTCATTCAATAGTTATCACTTGTTAATAGTTATTTAAAATCTTTACATTGAAAGCTTCACTGACATACATTTATTGACATATTTATACGATTCCTGGTACATATTTTGCAAATGAAAGTTACAGTACAAAAGTACACGACCAACAAAGTAGTACTGTGTTAAAATATAACAAGAAACAGTGAATTCAGCATAATTACACAATCCTTGAAATTTTTCTTTCATACATTATCACATAAATGGTGTGGTGATTAAAGTGTTGATGCTTGGTTTTGAAATGAAATGAAGATTTTTTTCTTAATCTTTTTTTTGGTATTTTGACTAATCATTTCAGCCTGTATTCTTAAGTAAATCTTTAGAGATGCTTGCTCTGTAGCTGATAAATTGGTGAACTTAAATTTATGTTTGTAATTTTTGTAGAATTTCTCTGTTGGATAATTTAGGATTCCCTAAGGCTACAGTAAATCTAGGATTCAAAAGTCACAATAAGGTTTGCTTTGGATACTTCTGTTCTCCACTATAGATGCTTTAAGGAGCAAGACCACTTCCCAGAGTAAGGGTCCTGTCCTCAAACCTTCTGTTCTCACAGGTATCTACTGTGCAAAGAGAAGGGCTTGTATCTGAGTCTGATCAAGAGTCAACACACTTTACCTGTAAAGGGCCAGAGAGTAATTACTTTCAGCTTTATGGACCATTTACTCTGCTGTTGTAATACACAGGCAGATGTAGATAAATGTAATGAATGAATAAGACTATGTTCTAATAAAGCTTTTTTTGCAGAAACAGTTGGTGGGCTGGTTTTGGTCCATGGGCTCTAGTTTGCTGACGCTGGTCTAGAGGCAGAAGTAAAGGAGAGCTGGACTTAAATCATCCTCCCAGGTCACCACACTTATGCTTGATATGTGTGCATTTGCTCTTGAATGAGCAGTTCTTGAGATAAAGGTGGCATGGAAAATAGAGAGCTGAGGGCAAATTTAATGTTCTTTCCCTTAAAAATTTTTTATAGCCCCCCAAATGGTATGGTAGTATTATTTGTGTGATCACGAAAGAAGTAGGCATCCTTTCACCAAGATAGCCGCTCACCCTTTAACTTTACTGTTCCTTGTTCTAGTCTGTAATATATTCTGCCTCTCAATGCCTGTTACTTTCATTAATACTTGCAGATGTACAAGCATTCTAATAACAAAACCATGACTACTGGGGCGATCGCTGCAATGCTGTCTACAATCCTCTACTCAAGACGCTTCTTTCCCTACTACGTTTACAACATCATTGGGGGACTGGATGAAGAAGGTAGAATTCTTTCTTTCTGGAAAATGAAGGAGGGGTGGCATGTTTTAGATATGTGTGTTTCCATCTACAGTTGAAAAGAACCATAAACACCGTCCTCCCCAACAGTCTTATTTTTGTTAATTAAAACAATAAGAAACTGAATCTAAAAGGGAAGTAAAGGGATGATCCAAAGGCACACCGCAAGTTGTGTACTAGAGCTCTAATAATGACTCATGGGCAGGCTGTTGTTTTACTATTTTCTGAAGATCTTGCATGAGTTCAGTAGTAGATAATTAGCATTTCAGTCTTACGGAAAGAAAGCTGACTTGGAGAAGCTTAACCTAACTATCATTCTACGTAACAAACGTATTTGACTTAAGTTTTTAAAAAGCGATTGCCTTAAAAGAAAGGTATGCATTTCCAACAGTGTATTCAGGACATTCTGAAGCACCTCTTTGATTTCCTGTCGGAGTCAAACCAGGAGGGCCTAAGAAGATCAGTCTTGTTACTTGACGTGCCCGTCCCATTTTTGATCCAAGCTCTGTTATGGAGCAGGGACACTGATGGTTTTCACTGGGTCTAATTTGGATTGACTTTCAGTTGCTTCCAAAAACCAGATACTATCTCTCAGGACAGATCTGTGCCACCATTTACAGTAGCCCATTGAAAAAAGAAGTTATAGAAATGTCTGGCTGGTAACAGTATATTGAAATATATCTACCGAGAGGGAGAATTTCTGGATAGGAAGGAGTTGGGCTCCTCTCATCTCCTCTCTCCACTTTTTACTCCTGTCCCTTGGGCTTTTCCTTTGTTCTTCCCTCTGCCCCTGTATGTGGCCTTTGGGAGCATTCCAGTCATTTTATCTACTGTGGTTTAGGTGTGGACAAATTAGGTTGGCACAGTGTATTTTGAGGCTTTCACCCTGACTTGAAAACTGAGAGAAAATGTAAAGCATGGAAATAGTCAAAAGAAATTAATTACCCTTAAATAAGGTAAGATTACCTTGCCTAACCCAGCATGCTGGACACGTTTTTTTCACTTAATGTCTGACTTGAATGTCAGATAAATAAAGTCGGGTTTAGCAACATTAATAATAGCTACCATTGAATTTTAGCAGGCCAGACAATGTCCTTTGAGTTTTACTGAGAGACAGAGACACCAATTTAGGAATACTCACATCTACTAAAGGGCAAACCTCAGGTTTGGGTTTGGATCTGTTTTGAGTTCAAAGCCCTGTTCTTTGATGTTCTGGTGGTATTCTCAGGCATTTCCAACTGTCTTTTTATATCTTCTCTGGTCTGCTTTGATTTTCCTTTACGTTCATTTTTATTTCTTAGAGGGATTTGTAAATTCCTGTAATAAAGCAGTCCTTTTTGTCTGTTCCCCAAGATAACTCCAGCTTTGACCTGTGCTTTTCACTAATGTCTCAAGAGACCTTGCTTCCTCTTTTCCTCCCTTGTGGAAATGGAGACCTGGAGAGCAGTGCTCCTTATTGAGACCTTCAGGATAGTTGGGTCAATGGCTGTCCTTCAGGACACTGGGATCAGTGGTTATCCTTAGAACAGTGGGTCCAACAGCTGCCTTTCGGGATAGCCAGTTAAGTAGCTGTCTGCTTTGACCTCTGTGCCTTTAACTCTCTACTTACAGTCATGCTTTAACCCCCCCCAATTAATAATGGCTTTAGTTTTTCTGTAACAAAAACAGTAGTACTTGTAGAAGTTTCAAATAGTACAAGAAGATACAAAAATGAAAGTAGTAATCACCCCAACCTTCTACTTTGAGATAATTACTATTAAACTTCTGATGAACATGCTTACAAGTATCTTGGTAGTCATCCGTGCTTGTGTGCTGTGTAAGTAGAATGTATAGTGTGTGCACGTTTACATGGGGTGTATCGTCACAGAGATAGTTTTATGTCACAGAGATAGTTTTATGCCGGTGAGTAAAGATACATAATGAGTCAGTGACTGACTTACATAGGAGGTAGCTACACCATAGTTTGCCTAGCAGTCCTCTGAAGGTCATTTAGGTTGTTTGCAGTTTCCTTAATAGAAACAATATGATGAACATTCTTGTACATACAATTTTGTATACTTCTTCAACCATGTGTACCTTCCTGGTAAACATTCCCAGAAGTTGAGTTGCTGTGTCAGAGAATACATATTTTTGGCATATTGATGCCATCTCTGGCTTGCCCTTCAGAAAGGGCCTCCTAGCTGGGGTATGAGTACCTGGGCTTTTTTGCATCCTTTACCACTATCAGAATTAACACATTTTAAAGATCTTTACCCAGTTAATATTTTGTGGTTTTAATTTATGTATAGTTTTTGTGTACTCAAGTTGGGCATTTTTTTGTGTTTATTGACCTTTTCATTTTTTTGGAGACTGACCTATGTGCTGACCTTTGCTCATTTCCTTATCTGCACATTAGTCTTTTTTTAAAAATTTATAAGAATGCCATCTAACTGTGTCAACTCTGTAATGTATGCAGTGGATGCCTCCCAAGAATGTTTTTTGTTTCTTACATTTTGGGGGGTGTCTAGCTATGGCAGATTTTTCTGAATTGCATATGGTCCGGGCTAATGGTCTTTTCTTTATGACGTTGAGTGTCCTACTTTGTTAGAAAGGACTCTCCCATCCAGGGTTTACCTTTATTTCTTTCTAGGACTTGTTTTTGACTTTATTTTTTACATTGAAACCATTGTGCTTTTTTAAGATTAAGAATTATTGGGGCGCCTGGGTGGCTCAGTTGTTGGGCGTCTGCCTTCGGCTCGGGTCATGGTCCCGGGGTCCTGGGATCGAGCCCTTCATCGGGCTCCCTGCTCGGCGGGAGGCCTGCTTCTCCCTCTCCCACTCCCCCTGCCTGTGTTCCTGCTCCCGCTGTGTCTCTCTCTGTCAGGTAAATAAATAAAATCTTTAAAAAAAAAAAGTTACTTTGGTGAGGAAAAGCACTCTATATCTACAGTCAGGATTCATGCCATTCTGCTCTGACGTTGCAAATGTCTCTTTTGCCTTTGCTAAGTGAGGGGAAGGTCTTTGAAGCTCTGGTCTTCAGTTTATCCCACTCTTTTCCTCAGATGTATTGTGTGTGGCTTTTCTGAGACTGCTTCTGCCTTTGGTTAAAACTTGGGCCTCGTTTTACTTGTGGCCTGTTGGCGTCCTGAGAGATCAGTTGTTCTTTTCGCTTTGTACTTCCTGTCCCTTTTTTGTGTGTTGAAGTTAGTGAACTGCGCACTGGGATCTCGATCTCGTCCCACAGTTGCTTCCAACAAAAACACTTCCCTGGATTCTCCTGGGCAACCTCAGCACCTTAGATGCTGCCTTCTCAGCAGAGAATTGTTAAGTAATTCTGCAGTAGAAAAAGCACACACAGCTGAGGGTGGCGGAGGTCAGTGGACAGGGAGACAGCTGTCCTCACCTCACATCTCCCAGGTTAGCTGCTGAGGCTTTGAGTTACGGTATAATATGTTTTCAAGATCAGTTATATCACCTTTAAGTCCTGTGTCGTAAATGACTCGTGATTTCTCACACCCAAAACACAATTGTTTTTTAAAAAATTACAGTGGCATGTGTGCTTTGTAACACATTCAGTACCAAAGCCTACAAAGCGATTCCCTTTTCTTGCCTCCAGTCCTGCAGAGGTAACTACGTTTGCAGTTCATACTTTGTTGTGTGCTTATACAAATATGTATGTTTTTTCTTATGCTTTTAAACAGTATAGAACTGTGTTATACATATTACAGAGCTCTTCATTTTGTATTGTCTTGTGGTTGTGGGACTGGGGGGCGGTCCCATCTTCCTCTTCCATTTGAGTTTGTGAAATAAGCCTTATAGGTAGATCTAACCTACAAGTGAGATTATTACTGGGTTATAGGGTTTGTACATTTACATTTTGATAGATTCTACTGCCAGATTGTTCTTTAAAAAGGCATAGCAATGTATGCACCCTTCAGGAGAGCGTGAGAGGCCCATTTATCTTTCTCTTCATGGTGCTCTATAACTGTTGTTCAGAATGGGTACGTTCAGGGGCACCTAAGTGGCTCAGTCGGTTAAGCATCTGCCTTCAGCCCAGGTCATGATCCTGGGGTCCTGGGATCGAGTCCCACATCAGCCTCCCTGCTCAGCGGAGTGCCTGCTTCTCCTTCTGCCCTTCCCTCCTGCTCATGTGCATGTGCTCTCTTCTCTCTTTTAAATAAATAATATATTAAAAAAAAAAAAAAAAGAATGGGTACATTCAGATTCTGGTTTGGTGGTTTTGTTTTGTTTTGTTTTTTTTGTTATTTTTTGTTTTTGCAATAGTGATTCTTAACTCTGGTAGTACAAAGCAAGTGATTACCTTTTAGGCAGAACTAACCTTTTGCATGTGGCATTTGTGTTTTTCTGAAAGTTTTCCATTATTAAATGTTTGTTTTTTTTTATGTTGTTGATGCTAAAGAGTGTGCTTACTGTTAAGTTTAAAAACACACAGTAAATCTTCCCTGTGACTGTTCACATTCAGCACTAGGAGAATTTTAAACTCAAGTCTATGCTAGAACTACACTAGTTCATTTTTTAGGAATGTTGTGAGGAGCTGAAGTCAGAGCAGAACCTGTGACTGCTAACCAGTGTGCCTGTGAGGCCACTGGGTGGTGATCGGTGATGTCAGCCTGATGAGAGCATGAAGCTCCAGGTGGCAAAAGCACATAAGGAGACGGGAGTGGGCAGGTGTACCTCTGATCAAAATCTTGAGAGGAGGTGAGCAGACCGCTGGGTAGAACAGTGAAATTTGGCTGAAATTTTAGCTCAGTTCATAGTCTCTTCTGTGTCACACTTCAACTAGATTTGTTTTTACTGTGATTTGGGATTGTGGTCAGGATGCATCCTTATGGAGATTGTTTTATTCTTTCAGGGAAGGGAGCTGTGTATAGTTTTGACCCGGTAGGGTCCTACCAGAGAGACTCCTTCAAGGCCGGAGGCTCAGCAAGTGCCATGCTACAGCCCCTGCTTGACAACCAGGTAATGAGACCATCCACGCTGGCTGTGACATTGACGTAAAGTACTTTTCTCTGAGTTCTCCTATTCACCCGCTGAGGAGAGTGGAGAAATCCAGGCTTTCTTGTATGTCCCTGCTGATTTTCCCTACCCCAGTCTTCTGATCTGTCTGTGTTCTGCTGGCTGTCTTGTGGCCTCTCACCTGCTCCCATGGCTCTGGCATCTTCCTGTGTCCTCATGACGTCCAGGCCTCTCGTGTCCACAATGGTTGGTCCATGTTTTCAGTTCTCTTGCCACCTTTACCTGAATGCTCCCTATTTTCATCATTTTTCTATCATCTAATTTTGTATTCTAACTTCCAAGTACGTTTTTAATTTACCGCCTTTTCTGTACTATTGCCTGAATTCAGGCCTTGTATTTCCCAACATCGTTTCTGCCTCCAAGCTTCCTTCCTTGTGTTTCTGAAATGTATTATATGTGTGTAGTCAACTTGTGTGTATTGCTTATCTGCCTCATCTCCCGTCACTCTGCTTCACACCCAAACCTCCAGTGTGGTGTGCCTGTCCTGTCACCAGGCCTTGGGTCGCAGCACACCCTTGGTCTGCAGTGTTACTCCCCTCTGACTCTGGCTCATCCTTCACGCTCCTGTACTCAAGTGTGTCTTCTGCCAAAGCCTTTCTCTTCAAGTAGACTTAGTTATGCCCGCTAGGGGCTCTCCTGGCTCTTTTTTCTTCTTAATGGTAGCACACTGTGTAATGGTACTTTTGCTTTCATATGTTCTCCTCTCTAGATGATGCATGCTTCTCAGGAGCGGGAGCTTTGTCTCAGTGCATGTTTGTCAGGTTTTAGGAATGTGTAATTCATCCAGGTCTGGAAGCTTTTCAGTCAGACATTTCAAATTTGTGTGAGCTATTCATTATGAATCCTCAGACATGTGAAGGCATTGGGGAGGCTGGAACCACCTTTGTACTGTCACATGATGCCTCATCCAAGTTTCCTGTCCCACCAGGTTGGTTTTAAGAACATGCAGAACGTGGAGCATGTCCCACTGTCCTTGGACAGAGCCATGCGGCTTGTGAAAGATGTCTTCATTTCTGCGGCTGAGAGGGATGTATACACTGGGGATGCACTCAGAATCTGCATTGTGACCAAGGAGGGCATCAGGGAGGAGACTGTTCCCCTGAGGAAGGATTGATTTGTGTGCTATTGTTAATCACTTCAGAATTGGTTAATTTTGTATCTTGGAACTATTTGACTAATGTGTTTTATTAAAAAATAAAGGCTGAAGTAATCATTTGTTATAACTTGTGTTCTCTAAGCAGGACAGATCTAGAAAGTAGAATTTCTTTTTCCTTTCATTTTCTTTCCTTTTTTCTTTCTTCTTTTTTTTAAGATTTTATTTATTTGAAAGAGAGAGAGAGAGCATGAGCAGGGGGAGAGAGAGAAGCAGACTCCCCACTGAGCAGGGAGCCCCATGTGGGACCCTGGGATCATGACCTGAGCCGAAGGCAGACGCTTAACTGACCGATCCACCCAGGCGCCCCTTTTCCTTATATTTATGAGCAAGAAATTTATCTGGAAAGGATGACTGTGTAGGTCAGCTTCTCATTGCATGACTGCCAGCCCATCTTAGGAAGAGCGTTTTTGGAATTTATTAAGTCCACCCAGCTTATACTGAAGGGTGGAGTATTACCACTTTTAACTTTAACTCAGTTTCATTAACGAATGTGAATGGACTGCCTTAAAATTTCTCACCCTTGGAGTTACTAAGCAGTCTGGAATGGCTGTTGGGAGGAAAATGTTCACATCAACCAGAATAGAAGAAAATCACAAAAGGAAATAGCCCTTTCGGCTTTAGCCAGACATCAGCAGGAAAAATTTTTATAAACACTTGAAGAATATTAAGTCCGAGGGCTCCTGGGTGGCCCAGTTGGTTAAGCGTCTGATTCTTGATCTCAGCTCAGGTCTTGATCTCAGGGTCGTGAGATTGAGCCTTGTGTTGGGCTCCATGTGGGGTGGAGCTTACTTAAAAAATACTCAAGGGCGCCTGGGTGGCTCAGTTGGTTAAGTGGCTGCCTTCGGCTCGGGTCGTGGTCCCAGGGTCCTGGGATCGAGCCCCACGTCCAGCTCCCTGCTCGGCGGAGAGCCTGTTTCTCCCTCTCCCTCTGCCTGCCGCTTTGCCTGCTTGTGCTGTCTCTCTATCTGTCGAATAAATAAATAAAATCTTTAAAAAAAATACTCAAGACGTAAATTTTGATAGAGCTAAAGTAGTTTCTGTTTTAGGACTATTAAATACATTTTATTGGGTGCCTGGGTGGCTCAGTCAGTTAAGCGACTGCCTTCGGCTCAGGTCATGATCCTGGAGTCCCGGGATTGAGTCCCGCATCGGGCTCCCCGCTCAGCGGGGAGTCTGCTTCTCCCTCCAACCCTCCCCCATCTCATGTGCTCTCTCTGTCTCTCATTCTCGCTCTCTCAAATAAATAAATAAAAATCTTAAAAAAAAAAAATACATTTTATCTCCACTCCGTAAAATGTTGGAGCAATTTCCTTGATGTTGAACAAGTCAGATGATAACAGTGTGACCTAGAGGGTGTGATTGGTTTTGTGGCATATTAATAACAGTGGGGTTTTCCTGTTGGCCTCCCGTTAATTAAATTAAAATTATCAAACCCTAAGAGATGTGTATTTTATTTTTTTTAAAGATTTTATTTATTTGACAGAGACACAGTGAGAGAGGGAACACAAGCAGGGTGAGTGGAAGAGGGAGAAGCAGGCTTCCCACGGAGCAGGGAGCCCGATGCGGGGCTCGATCCCAGGACCCTGGGATCATGACCTGAGCCGAAGGCAGACGCCTAACGACTGAGCCACCCAGGTGCCCCAAGATAGGTATTTTAAAATTTGCTGAGAAGTTCATTGATCTGTCACCTGAAAGCTGGAGACCCGGGAGAGGATGTGTAAGGCCCTGTCTTCAAGGACAGGAGAAGACTTAAGTCCCAACTCATCGTTTGGGCAGAGAGCACATTTTCCTTTGTACCTTTTCTATTCATGTCCCCAGCAGATTAGATGATGCCCACACTGGGAGGGGCAACCTGCTTTACTCAGTGCACCAATTCAAATGCTAATCTCACCGCAGATACCCCAAAATAATATTTAGCTAGATACCTGGGCACCCTGTGACCTGGGAAAGTTGACATTAAGTTAATCATTACAATTTTATAAACTAGGTATATATTTTTTTCAAAGGATGTTCCATTGATTTTGGGATTCAACTTTCTATTTAAACATTACATAAATCATCCTAGAGTTTTCTATAAGGTCCCCACCTCCAAAGATTGGTAGGGAAGTTTTACAAATTCATGATGTCTCTTTCTCAGCTTCAGGTGTGAATTCTTGTAACCTGGTGTCTCTCTAGACCTTGGGTGTGGTCTCATCTGTAGGCCTGTCACCTGCAGGAGGCTGGAGTCAGTACCGCCTTGTCCAGGACACACTGTCATGTGGGTCCTTTCAGAGCTGGCTCTGACTCTAGTTATTTGGGTGGCTTTTATAGATCATTTAACCACAGTTCCTGTCCTGAAAAAGGCAGCCCTTTAGCACTTTGGTAGATTAGAAGTTTAATTTCTGGTTAGCCTTTGGTTTTTGGTTGAAAAATGGCCATTACGTTAAGACTTCCCTTCATATGTCAGATTTACATTTCTGCCTGCTGCACCTGCTGCACAGAATGAAAGGGATTGAGAATTTGATGCTACTAGAAATGCTGGGAAACCAGTGCTTACTCTATGGATGTGTTAACTGTCACTTGATTTACACACACTGAATTGGAATGCTGTGTATGTGTCTGTTCTTTTTCTTTTAAAGATTTTATTTATTTGACAGAGACACAGTGAAAGAGGGAACACAAGCAGGGAGAGTGGGAGAGGGAGAAGCAGGCTTCCTGTGGAGCAGGGAGCCCGACGCGGGGCTCGATCCCAAGACCCTGGGATCATGACCTGAGCCGAAGGCAGACGCCAATGACTGAGCCACCCAGGCGCCCCTGTTCATTTTTTCTTTAATAATCAGAAAGGGCAGAAATATTTTTCTGAAGTCTGGAACTCCCCAGTGGGGCTGTGCTGGCTCAACTGAGCCTGTGACTGGCAGGTGCCACTTAGGCCTCCCTGATTCACACACAACCTCGTTTTCTGCTCGAAGAAAGAAAAAACAGGCTGTGAGACCAACTGCAAGCCTACTTGAGAGGACTATGGACCAGTTACCAGGACAGTGTCCTTATTACCAAAATGTCTTGACCCTGCCTTTCTGTACCTAATACCTAGAAGCGCCCTTCATGGCCAACAGCATTTACTAATTTGCTTTCTGACTTGAGGTCTGCATTCCCTCTATTTGTGACTTTCAGAGTATGACTGGTGGAATGTCCTGTATCAGAATTACATAGAACACTGGTTAGAAACTAATTCCTGGGCGTACCCCAGACATGCTGTAGTCTCTGAACTGAGCCCTAAAAATATTTTAAATCTAATACCCCGGTGATGCATACACAATTTAAAAAACCCCCTTAACTCCTCTTCAGACAGGTTCAATCAGGGAAACAACTTGTAGGAGACAAATAATAAGGGAATTATTATAGGGTTTGACCTGGTACGTTTAAGAGGAGCTGGATCTGGTCTGTGTGTGGTGCTGGAGCCTAAAATCCACAGTGCAGACTGTTGGGAAGGGATGACAGGTGTGAAATGGGGGTTGAGGAACACTGGAATTTGTGACTTGGGGCCATGAGGACACTTGTGCCAGCCTCACTACCTCCAGACAGCCCACTTCAGTGATGGAGACAAGGGACCAGGCTAAACCTGCACCTGGCCCAGCAGCTGGGGAAAAGCCAGAGTGAGGCAGGAGCTGAAGGTGCTGTGAGCGCAGGCACTGCCCATGCCCCCTCCAGGTGGGCACAGAAGCAGGACGGCTGATGCCTCACCTCCCTCACCTGCCAGCCCTCCTCCAGGGTTCCCAGCAGCAGGCCCCACCTAAACTTGGGAAGGAGCTTCAGGTTCCTTCCCATGTTGTTGCATCTACAGAGGTGGTGGCAGCTCGTTCCATGGGTAATTTGGACTGCTGCTGGAGCCTGAAGGCAAGGTGACTTGGAGTTACAGGAACCTCATTCCTGTATTCTGCTAGTTAGCTCGTTTTTCACCAGGACAGAGGATATGAAAATGGTTTGAAGGGAAGTTTCACCCACAGGATCACTAGGGTTTGTCTATTAACATCCTGGGGCTTCTTTTCTGTCTTCGACAGGGAAGGGCTCAGAGCATGTGTGTGCATTTTGGAGGTGATGAGTCTGGGTATGTCCAGCGAAGGGAGCGACCCTCCCGCCTGGGCCATGATCACCCTCTCTGAACAGGTTATTGTCTCTGTCTTGAAGGTGCTTCCCAGGCATGTGCTGTCCTCTGTCCTGTAGCACCAGATTAGTGTCTGAGTGGCTTCTTGGAGCTTGGAATCATCTTGGAAAAGCATTTCTTCGATAATAGGAAAATCATTCAAAACACAACATGGGGGGTGCGCCTGGGTGGTGCAGTTGGATAAGCGTCCGACTCTTGGTTTTGGCTCAGGTCTCATCTCAGGGTCCTGAGATTGAGCCCCACGTCAGGCTCCGCACTGAATGGGGAGTCTGCTTGAGATTCTCTCTCTGTCTTTCCCCCCTGCATGCTCGCTCTCTTTCTCTCTCTCATTGAAATAAATAGATGTTCAAAACACAACATGGGGGTGTGGATTGATGTTCATGGGGCTGACTTAGGAAGTATAGGTGATTTAGAGTGTGATCTCATACCACTTTGTCCTCAGGCAGACCTACAACTTGTGCCTCTTCTGTGGTGAGCTGCTTCTGGAGAGCATTCTGCTGGAAGCTTGTGGAGTTGGAAGAGGAGTTGGCTGTGGTCCAGGGAAGAGGTCCGACCCACGTTCTTCAACGGAGGTCACTCTCTCAGGGGCCGCCAGATGGCAGTGTTGGCTTGCCCAGGCTAGCCAACCCGCCGTAGATCTGATCTGTAAAGAAGCAGGTTGCGGGCCCATGCTCTGCCAGTGCACAGACTTTGCTGAGCTTTTGAAGGAGCCCTGAGCCTAACTGTAAATCCTCTTTCATACCTGGAAAGAGGGATGCCTTGTTGGTGTTCTAAATCTCAGATCATCCTCATATCAAAGTGGAAAGGACAGGGGGTAAACCCAGCAAAATGGTAGTAATCTACACTAGAGGGGATAAACCAAAAAGTTGGTAAGTGGTAATCTATGTTGGAGATCCTGGGTGTGTGCATGGGATGGGGGTAATGAG